CCTTGAAAACATTATACTAAGTGACAGAAGGCAGACACAAAATGCCACGTGTTATTGTATGATTTCATTTGTATGAAGCATTCAGAATAGGCCAGTCCATAGAGAAAGCAGATTAGTGGTTACCAGGGACTTGGGGAGGAATGGGGAGTGACTGCTTAGTGGGTACAGGGTTTCCTTTTGCCGAGATGAAAATGTTCTGAACTAGATAATGGTGATGGTTGCACATCATTATGAATGTTCTAAAAGCCACTGAATTGTACCCTCTTAAATGTTTAAAATGGTAAATTTTGTGTTATGTGTATTTTATCACAATAACAAATATTGCTGTGGTGATATTTTATGTCAGTATTGTATTTTGGTTTCTGATCGCTCAAGTTAGTAACTAGTTAAAAACTTAATCTTCTGTTATGTTTTATTTAGGTAAAATGATCCATTCTATGGTAGCTCATCTGGATGCTGTTACAAGTCTAGCAGTAGATCCTAATGGAATCTACTTGATGTCTGGAAGTAAGTCTGAACTTCCTGTACTGCCCACAAATTTTGTAATAGAACTGTTACTCAGTAACATTTTTCATTTATTCTTTTACAGGCCATGACTGTTCTATTAGATTGTGGAATTTGGACAGCAAGACATGTGTGCAAGAAATAACAGCACATAGGAAAAAATTAGATGAATCAATTTATGATGTTGCTTTCCATCCATCAAAAGCATATATTGCTAGTGCGGGGGCTGATGCCCTTGCCAAAGTATTTGTGTGAATCAACAAAAACTCTCATCATAACAACAGATTCGCTTGGACAGAGAGGGTCTGCATCACTGCCATCAAAAATGTTACTGATATGACACTACATGTGATCTGCCTGATGAAGGCTATATTTGGGGCAGGCATAAATTGGTGGAAATCACATCTTAACATCAGGCTCATTAATTTAATTGTACTTACTGTATTTCTTGGGACAAAAAAAGGACTCCATTATTTGTGGCCTGTACTGGATATGAACTGAGCGTATGTCTGTCTTTTAGGTATCTTTAAGCCAGTGTGGAGTCAGATCTTACAAAAAGACTTTTATTTTGGACTCTGTGTGCTGCCTTAGGGTTAGGAATGTGGTGCTCTTGTTGGGAAGTGAGCTCCAAGAGTAGCTTTTTTTCATCTCTTAGTGATCTTCTGTTTATCAGTTGAATGCCACAGATTCCCTTTTAAACTTATTTTGCTTTAAAAAAATAAAAAAGAAAATTTAACTTAAAATATTTTAGCATTAGTTGCACAAAATGTTTGGATAAAATTCTAGTTTTTATAAGTCTTTTTATATATTTAGCCTGTCACAACAGTGCTCAAGATTGTATTGAAGTTTTTCTGCAGTATACAACCCTGAAACACAGAGATCTCACTGACCCGCTGCCGTGTAAGCACACTCTT